TTGATTACCTGCCTCCTGAAATGATTGAGGGAAGAACACATGATGAAAAGGTGGATATCTGGAGCCTAGGTGAAACCACCCTTTGAAGCAGAAACATACCAGGAAACCTACAGAGCTATTTCCAGGGTATGTGCCAACACTTATTTGGACTAGCTGAATTATGCTGCTTTTCAGTTCTATTGTCTTATTGAAGCTTAACAAATGGTTGCTTTGAAGAAGGGCATGGATTGTAACTGGAACTATAGCAAGATGTGATGATATGCATAAAACTAGCTTCCCTAAAATGGTCTTCAGTCATTCAGTAGAATAACTATAAGAGACCTTAAGATACCTTGCCTTACTTCCTTGGTTGTATCCTGTTTATGCCTGCATCTGAACTTCTACCTCTTTCCCAAAGCAACTGATCTCTGTCTTTCCTTTTCTAATTCATAAGATGAATATTTAACATTCAAGGTGTTACTGAAAAATACATAAGCTTAACTTCCTGTTGCATACCCTAGAAAGGTTCCAGCAAACTAATCTTGTTTTGAAGTACATTGAAAAATACACCATCTTAACTTCTACAAGCAGCCAAGAACCTTGTTTTCAGGATTATGATGAAATTACTTAATCTCATCTCAATAGGCATCAGGTGCATAGCCCACAAGGCTGACACAGCTTTCCTTTCTTAGATGTACCTGGGAGGATAGAGCCCTTTGTCTCTCGAGTTTGGTTATTGCCAAAGAACTCTTGTGTCATGTTTACTGTCCTTCCTTTTCCTTAGGTGGAATTCAAGTTTCCTCCATTTGTAACTGAAGGTGCAAGGGATTTAATTTCAAAGCTTCTGAAGCATAACCCATTCCATCGACTGCCCCTGAAGGATGTACTACTTCATCCCTGGATTACAGCAAACTCTACAAAGATGCCCAACAGCAGAAAGAGTGATGTTGCTGCCCCATCCAAAACATAGCCTTAGCAGAAGTAACCTCACGGGATCAACAAGAGGAGTCTTGTACTGTGACTACTGTAATGCTTACAACAGGAAAAGCATTTGGAATCCAATGGCAATTAGAATGCAAATCTCTGGTGGGTTGGCTGTTGTCTTAAACTCTAATTGCAATGTAAAATTATTTGACTTTGAGCTGGTGGTTGTGGAATACTTAATATACTTGAAATCCAGTTACATGTGGGCCAGGTTTGTTGATGTAAGTATTAAGCTGTTCAAGGCTCTTATGATGTGGTCTGTTCTGGTAATGGTTCATTGTTCCAACAACAATAAGAAGTTGTGGTTCTAGCTTATTGAACAGTGCAATATCCTGGAGATACCCACCTCCTAACTTATTGGGCTGCTAAGGGTATCATAACTGTGGTGTAATCTGAAACTGAGTGAGGTGAATGCACTTCTCAAAGTGTCCTAAAAATGATGTGTGCATTTTTGTCTCTATTTTGTCTTAAATGTGAGCACTCGCCTTTTTAAATAAAGACTTGTTGTATACTGTCACCAGCATGGTAAGGTTCCTTATGGCCTTTATCACTTCTACTGGCTGTCTCCTAACCACCTGTCTTGGCCATCAGTACAGCCTGACTCCTTGTCTACGATCATGAACTAAGTTTACTTCCCACCTGTCTCAAAAAGGAAGCTGGTATAAAGTTCTTGCTCAAAGTGCTGGTACAACAAAGATGTAGTCACTTACTAGTCTACAATTGCAACACAGAATACAAGGTAAGTGCCAACTGTCTTGTGACTTACCTTGTGGGTTTTCTACAACCACTGAAACATAGGTCTGCTTATTCCTTTTTTAATGCATTTATTCAAAGATAACAGGGTCTGAAAGCCTTTCTAAGAGAAAGGTCTGGAAAGTATTGTTATCAAAGAAGATATGTAACAGGAGCTAATGTTAACATCTGGTGTTACATTATTCCCTAAAATGTAGTCAAGGGTCAGGCCACTCACCAAGAAAATATACAAACCAACTCTTTTCCAGTAAAACACTTCAGCAAAATAAGAGAAAGCAATTTATTGTATTTTCATTATAAGACTTTAAGGTCATCTTCACTATTTTACAAACCACTTTAAAAAAGGTCCTTTACAAGCAAGGATTCTAGAATTCAAAATATATTCTCAAATTAATTTAAAATATGCTTTGCAAAAAAACTTCATCTAAACAAGTTGCCCGTAGCTTATACAGCCATATTTATCTTAATAGGTAATATGAATTCAGGTCATAATTTACATGAAGCTCTCTTTCTTTACTGCAAGAAAATATCTAGCTAGTGCTGGTAACTTCACTTCTAGGTGCATTTCCTTTAAATGATTCCCCCTTTATGTAAAGATTTTTTTAAAAGAAAAGCTTAAATACTCCTTTTCTATCAGCTTAAGTATGTTTTGTCCTAATTAGAATGACTGATTAAATGAAGAACACAAGGATGCCTTGTGATTACTCTGGATTGATAGAAAGAGTAAGCATGTAAATAAAACCCACAACACAGAAAGGCTTCTGTGAACAGGAAAAATAAGCCCCCTTAAGAAATACTGATTGCCCACTTGAAATTTAAAAGACTAGCTGTTCTAGACTGTAGTAGGTCATAAAGCTAAAGTAGTGTTGGCTGCATGTTGTCATACCCTGGTAACCCTTCAACTGCTCTGCAGTTTTTACCTATCAAAGGTAAAACTGAGCTTCCATCCACGTAACAGGTATAGATCAGGCAAGGGTAAAGGCAGAGCTTCCTTGAGGGACAAGCTGATTTGAAATTTATATTCTTGCTCCGATAGCAGCAAGTTGATGCTAGTACCCTGGACAAGCTGCCAGCTTCAGCAGCCATACTGCAAAGCAGGCATGAAACAGGAAAAACCCACTCTGCTTTTCTGAGTAAGCAGCTAGTCAAAATGAACTTGACTGCAGTAGGAATGGCATGTGTGGGTACATGAAGCAGCAGAGCATTGGCTACACATTGAACATGCACACCAAGCAGCTGTGCATGACATGGCATAAGCTCTGTTTGTGACACAGCCTACTGCTCCCATGGAAGCATGCCATGCTGCAAGGCTGATTCTCAGTATGTCCTGCTCCTAGGGCTGGTATTTTGAGCTGTGTTTAACAGGTAATGCATCTTTTAATCTATGCTATGTTTGTCTTGCACATGTACCTGTTCCCTGCCGCAACTGTTGCCATCTTGAGCCACTAAGCTCTCATCTGGGCTAACAGCACAGCCCCACTGAGACCAAGCCCTTGTCAAGGGGTTCTTTGGTTTCAGGTGGCAGTCTCTAGTATCAGCTTGCTTCCATGGGGCAGAGGAAGTAAACTACATCTCTTCCAGTCTTCCCTGTCTTAAAGAAAACCTCTGATTAACCAAGCTATAGCAAGAGAACAGGTACAAGGATATATGCAGCTGTGACTCATCTTCCTAGAGCACAAACTGCTTGCTCACTTGTGAGCTCATGGATCCTCAGATCCATGGGTTGGACTTTCTCAATGGGAAAGGAGTTTGGGTGCAATTTAATGTTATGGTTGAGTGGAGTTAATAGGTTGCTCATAACAAAAAGAAATGACTTGCTCTTCCTTCCCTCCCTCAGCTAACTCACCCTAACCACATGATTCCTTCCTCCCAATTCACTAAACTTCAGCAAAAAAAGATAAATTACTCTGATCACCAGGGTAATTTCCTGCTATTTGACTTTCATCAGATTCCTGTATGAACAGATCCACGTCAGAGCCACCTTGGGGTAAGTGTAAGCACACAGACAGAGAAAGACAATGTAAGAAGAACAGACGTGGAAGGAGAAATAGGTCCAAAAGACTGATTGATAGATTTGGCTCCAGCTGTCTCACAGAAGCACAGTCTTAAGTCTGAAACCCAGCTTTACCACAGAATGTTACACTGACTACCTAGTTTTGGGATCCAGTCTTTTAGGTGAACTGAAGGGTGGTATGTGAATATATGCATGTGTAACTACATTAATAGGAACAGTGTCCAAATAAAGAAATGAAAAGCCACTCTAACTGGTACCTTCAACAGTCTGTCAGACAAAAGCACAGGAATTGCTCTTGAGAAGCTACGAATTGTAATGCCTGGATTTCAGGTGCAGATTTGAGTTGCATTCACAGGAGCAGAAAGCTGCTAGGGTTAGTTTTCAGGTAAACGTGTGTCTCTAGTACAAAGCCAGATACATTAAAAACCCATAGATACCTTGCCTCTGACTTGACAATCTTTGGAATATGTTCACATAGGAGGTAATTCTAGTTACACTGATTTCAGTAGACTCAGGATTCCTTCTCAGTCTATAGGCATAAAAAAATTTAACAAAGGACTTTAATAAGGCCATTTCCTAGCCTATAAATAAAGCACATTTTCAAAGACTAAAATCTTGAAACATGGAAGCACCACAAAGGAGCTGTAGTTTCAGAACAGTGCATTACCTATTCTGGCTAAAACAATTATCACTGTGCAATAATTAAGCATAAGGGTACTCCCACTTAAGTTAGTTCAGCATGTGTGTTGTATTGCAAGACTGGGGTCATGCCTTTTATAACAAAAGAAACAGCCACCTACCACCTTAGATTCCGATATATACACTTACCAAAAGTACTATTCATATAGTAGGATATTGTTTATTCCACACACTATTAGGAAGATAATCTTACTCTGTTTCCCAACTACACAGTAATAAATTAATGCTGCTGCTCTACCTTGAGAAGAAAAAAATTAAGGCCCCAAAAGCTAGATTGTAAAGACCCAGAATGGTGTGTTCTAAAGAGACGGCTCATTGTCAAGGATTTATATTACCACTTGCAGTGGAAAACAGATACCATTTTAACAGGTTTTTCTAAAGAGGTGGCAAAAGGGAAAGAAGATAAGGACTTTTCACAGTGTAACATTTACCTGAAAGAATAAGTAAGAAATGCAAGAGGAGGTCAGCATTAACATAAATCCAAAGAAGTCTTTTAAAGAAATTTAGCAGTCTTAAAAGCTACATGGATATAGAGCATTTAAAAAACAGAATAAAAATCAGTAAGAAATCATCATGGATTTGGGGCAGGAGGTTTGAAGAACCCAATCTTCCGGCAGTATCGGACAATAAATGGCACAGAAACTATAGTAATGCTGATTCGTACTGGAGCAAACAATTTGTGAATAGCATATGCCAACACAAATGTGCTTGTACCAGCAGCCATTTTAGATTGCAACGATGATTCACTGAAACCAAGTTTGAAGAGAACTGCAGTCATATCCACACCACTGGGGAAAAGAAAACAAGATTTTTTTTTAGTTTATTTTAAGGTTAGATGCTAAAGGTTATAAATTAAAAGTGCTATTCTTTCACAGAATTTAACATGGCATACTTAATATTACATACCAACTCTGGAATTTATGTTTAAATCTAGATGTTGTTAAATAATAAAAACAATTATTTCAGCAGTAACAGCTCAAGTTATTTCTGTAGCAACAACACAGGCAATATTTTCAGATGCACATTTTTTTTTTCTTAAATTGATAAGTTTCCTGTGAAGTCAAGTATGTTCTTAGTTTTACAACTGCAAGCATGTGCATGGAGAATACTCAGCCCCATGCTCAACCTTCTGATAAAATAATCTATTTCTCTACTTTTGAATTTTAAGAGTTAGAAATTTGTGAGTTTGTGTGGGAAATTATTCTTCCATAAATTTACAATAAAGTCTATTCTATTTCTTGAAGAATGTTATCACATAAATATAGATCAACCCAAACCAAATAAGGTACCTGTCGTTAGGCTGAGAGTGTTCTAACAGGAATACAAAACTGTTAAAATGACAAGTATCTTATCTAAAATCTAGCAATTGAAGGAAATATGATGGATCTGAAATAAGCGTTATCCACCAAATCCATTAATATTTTAATTCTCTATAGACATATCAGCTTTCATTAAGGTTCCTATGTTTGGAGCAATTTTCCAAAAGAAGTTGTTACTGTAACTTTTCCCCCCTCACTTGCCAGTATAGTATCTTATAACTGGGAGTTAAATCATACCTGAAAGAAAAAATTTTCATTGTCACCCTGTGCCACGATGTAGTAAAAGAGAGAAATCAGGCATTCACATATTCTCACTGAAGTCCCCCATTTCCTCTGTTGAAATACCTCATGCTCAACAGACACATCTATAACTGATGCATTTGCACCAGAAGCCACATACACAATTTCCCACCTGACTCCTATTTCTTAATCTAACCCTGTTTCAGTGACTGTTGCCTTCTGCAATTTCAGCTGCGGAAACTGAGTTCAACACCCAGAAAAATAAGTTTATCTCTAAGCCCCAGCACTTTTGTATGGCTCTATCTGTACAGACCATCCTATGTTTGAGAACAAAAGATATCTCTCCAGAACAAAAATAAATTTTCCCATCTGGCTGGTTACTCTGATGCAGTCTTGTCTCTGCTGTTTTCACCTGCCTACCATGGACTGTGAACCTATGCAAAAAAACCACATACATCTGTCTTCTCTCATGCCTGACGGGAGATTAGATCCATTTATGCATCCACCTATACTCAAAATTCAGAAGATTACTGTGTGTAGATCAAATGGGCATGAAGTATATGTCTCCTTCCAGAAATAAGCACAACAGTGAGATATTTTCCTTGGCTAAACCATTCCCTAGAGGCTACTGACAACTGTACAAACCTCACCTTGACACTGCCAGGTAGAAGATTCCTAGAGATACTAATGAAATTCCAACATGGAATGAAACCCCTACAGCACCATATTCTTTAAAAACTTGTTTCAGTTGCTGGGATTTGTTGAGTTTCTTGTTTTCACCACTGGGATCTGTGGCTGCCTTTTCAGGGGATACACCTGCATCCTGAAAAGAAAACAATTAAAAGTATTTATTAGCTTTAAGCACAATATCATATTCTAGTCAGCTGAACCAACCTGAAATAATGAAAGAAGTAGCTTGCATACAGTGCTATTCAGAATGCTTTGGGAAAGACAGAAAAACTTTCGCTTTTTCACATCAGGGTAGCAGATGCCTGTGTCAGAGCCCATGCAAGCTCCCTTTTCCAAACTATTCATATCAAAGGGATGCACTGAGCTTGGTGCAAGTTTGTACGCAATGCAAGTTTCATAATTAAAAAGAGTTATCACAGTCCCAGCCTTCCATCTGATCCAAACGGATGCCAGGGCACATCCACATAGTTGCTTGAGCGATGAGGCTGAGGTGCCAAAGAGATCTTGGCTTACACCCACTGCTCAGTTTTATACAGCTATTCTTGTAACACAGCTTTCTGTTCAAGGGCTAAGCAGCTGATGGCACTGGAAGCATACATGATACCAGACTGATGCTGGCTTGCTAACGACTCAGTGATAGAAGAGGTCCAACATTTAAGTTCCTATAAATCACCATCTACAGACCATCTGAAAAAGGAACCATGAAACTGCTGCTGTTGACAGCAACAAGCAATACTGTTGCCACAGTGTAGGCAATAGTTACATAGACATGCCAGTGCTGGTGTAAATAGCCTAACTTCACTGAAAATGTTTGTCACAGTAAAAATTTATTGACAGCTTTTTATCTGGGTAAATTTAAAGTGCAGGACTTCATACTAAAACATATCCCAAAGCAATTTGATAGTGCAATGCAGAAAAAGAAGGGCATTTACACTGCTAGTAATAAGGCAGGCCTTGGATACCTCCTCATACTTGCCATAGAAGAAATATGAACTGGAGAAAGAATACGTTTCCACAAAGACTTTAGGCCTTCTCTCTAATTAGCAAGCAGTTATCAGGAAAGATTAGAAGAGTCCTTTCTTTTCAGCTGAATTCAGCAGCAGTTGTGACAATTCGACAGCCAGATTAAAGGCCACTGCAGCCCCAGGACAGGTACAGCTACTGAATGCCTGGCACCACTTCATCCTACTGTAAATTGCTTTCAAGGCACACAAATTAGAAGAACAACACTTTTGATTAATTCTTGGACTTGTCAAGATTGTAAATTAGGATACAAGTGAGGCTCCTCTTACAACACTCATGGTAGGATGAACTCGCTTTAATCAGTGATTTTAACCACACCACCACCCTCAACCCCCCACCCCCAAACTGTTTGCTGCTGTTTTTCTCTTTTTAATTGTCATTTTTGTTACTCAGTATTTCATTTTGACAGGAAATCACACTGATCCATAAATAAGTGTTTAGGGAATTGTGTAGCTCAACTTATTCTGATTCTTGTATTTCTAAATTTTTCAAACATAATGAATAGTGTCAGATTTATTTTTTTTTGCTCATGAGACAAAGCAATATTTGAATAGAAACTGAAACTTGACTAAAAAAAAATACGCACAGTAGAAAAAGAAATCTTTTACTGCCTAACCCAAGCAGTTTTAATACTAGAGAGTAAATGAGGAAAAAATGTTCAAATATATATTTTTTGAAGCAAGCTCATTAAGAAAAAGAATGGATTCATAGTGAGATAATCTAATTACTTCCAATGGTTAATTACTTTCAGCCACTGGAAGTAATTAGATTCCACACATAGCTGTATTGCATGGCTGCTACTTCATCATGTTTCAGAACTTATTCTCTTACTCTTCAGTTTTATTATAGGAAAAGGGGGCTGGGGGGAGAGGAGGGAAGAATGCTGTTTTAACTCCCAGTCTGTAAAGTTTACATACTGAGTAATTGAATGGAACTAGTTGAATAAACTGAACAAAATAGTCTCATAATACCTTCTGCCAAAAGCTGTCCTAACAATTCAATCACGTGCTTAGTCAAGAATACTCATTTATTCAACAGTGTGATTTTCTTAAAAGCCAAGTGTGGTTTGAATGGTATTTTAAGATTTAATAGCTTATAGTGAATTTTTCATCCAAAGAAAGATGATAATTGTCTATTTAAGGAGCCAAACATGAAGATTTTCTTCAGATAGCTGCCACGAAAACAGGAGCCGACAATCTACAGAGATACGTAAGACTCAGAGGTGCTGTGGGTCTTACCGCCACACTTGCAAGATGGATCATAAGGACTAATAGCTTGAAAAATAGCCTGTTCTCATCATCCAAGCACATTTCAATTCACTCAGGCTCACATGCCAAGTAATTTCTGATGGTATCGTTGTGATGGTTGTGTATAGTATTGTATCTGAATGGCTAAAAAAGTACCACTTCAGCAAATATTATCTGGACTACCGAGTACGGTCATGTCCTCACTAACGTACAACAGCTAAGAAAGCTACCTATTTTCCATATAATTTTGCTACAATTTTTCTGCTAGAAAGCCAACTTTATTCCCATCGTTTAGAGAAAGATTCAGCTTCTGGATGAACTAAGGCATGAAAACAAAACTGAAACATCCTATCATGCTTTGTAACGAGGCTACAGAAATTAACTTGAAAATTAAGCTATAGAAATTAAGTTGTAAATGAGGCTTTGTATGGAAAACTCACATTCACAATCTTGGCACAAGCAGGTGTCAAGCAGGTCCCTGCCTCCTACAGAAACTCAGCATAAATAGGATTTAATAGTGTACTGTAGTGTAAAAAACAGTTACATGTAAGGCCTGCATTTGCTTTTCTCCCCGAGTCAATTCAAATTTAAAACCAAAACAATGAACGGTACAAATTCACACAAATCTTTCCTTTACATCTCCAGAAAATGAACTGAATGTTGAAAGCATGCTGCAACTGAGTGCACGTCCGTATTTTATCCCTCAGCTAATAAAAGGTACAGAGTCAGGCACAGGACATCTGTCTGCAGTCATGCCACCACCACCCACTGCCATTTTCAGGGGTTGAAACACTTTTTGAAAATCTTTTCAGCCACCACCACCAGGAACACTGGGGCTTCTCTGTGTCTGAATTACTGAAAACCCCTTTTTTTCATTCTTCGTGACTCACCTGAAGTGCTCAAACTCTACAGCCCCCAAGCAAAACAAGCCTCCCCCCGAGGCGGCGGTACGGGCCAGCTGAACCCTTAATCTTGAAGACACCCCCAAAAGCTGGAAAACACTTCCAGGCCAAGACAACTTTAACCAAAGCTACGATCCGCTCCCCACCAAGGCATCCCCCTCCAGAGGCGGGCCCTGAGGCCGCGCTGCCCCCTCACACTGCGCGGTACCTCACGGGGGGCTCTCAGGCACCCCCCTCCCCACCTACCTTGGCGGAGGTGCCAGCGGCGGTTCCCAGCCTTACCAGGGCCAGCGGCGGGCTGAGGCCAGCCTGGGCGAGGCGAGGACCGCAGCCCAAAACGCGGGGGACGGTGGAGAGCGGGAGACGGCACAGGGGGCTACGCGGGACCGCCGGCGGCCGCAGCAGGCCCAAGCGCACCAGGCGGTACATAGCAACGGCGCAACAACAACGCAGCCCCAACTCTGCGCGCCGAACAGAGCGAGCAACCAGACCTGACAAGCCGAACACCCGCCCCACCCAACGGCATTTTTAAAGGCGCAGCGCCTTTAAGCAGGCGGGCTGCCGCCGCCGGGCGGTTACTTGGGTGAGGGCGGTTACAGGTGTCGCAGGCCGCTGGCGGGGGGAAAGCGGTGCGCGCTTTTGGTCTGAAGGAAAAAAAGTCTCTAAGGGCGGTGTGTTGCCACTTGGGACGGTGGAAGGTAGTCCCCTGTCTTATCTTGGCCGCCTAAACCCTCTCCAGCGCCTTTCTGGAGCGAGCTGTAGGAGCGTGACCGCGGCAGCTTTTCGGTGTGGCCTTGTTGGTAGCTCGCTAAGGGGAGAGAACTGCTTTTCCAGGCCCCTCGGCGGTATTTAGGCCTATAAGCCTGTAGGGGAGGTGGTGCCTGTTGTTTTTCAGAGTGCTCCTGAAGTCTGCGCGTACGTTAAAGTGGAGAGGCGGTTGAAGTGTCATTGCTGCTGCAGTTCTGGTGCATGGGCTCACAGTGTACCAGTTTATTTAATTACCACCTTTATCTTGAGGAGCTCTAGTAATTTGCCAAGACTTCATGGTACAGGGAAGAGTGCAAATGCAGAGCTTTTCTGGTCCCAAAGGGTTCACATCATCTCTGCGACCTGGAGGAGTCTTCCAACAAACACTGTGAAGGTCTCATGCTTGCAGCCCTGTTGTTTCTAGATTAAAACTGCAGCAGGAAAAGTAGTAATTAAAAATACCGTTGAAGTGTAACATCACTGTGGGAGAATTGCAGATGTGGCGGGGGATACTCCTGGCAGGGTGAATCCCAGTGCCCTGGGGAGCTCCATTTCAACAAGCAGGGCTTTGGTTGATGGGAAAGATCTCTTCACATAGGGTAATTTTCAGGATCAATGCGTAACTGTGGTGATTTCCAGGCCTTTTGTGCTCTTTCAACCATTCAATGTTAATGCTGCTGAACACAGTTTAATATCTGCACGTTGACTGCTACCCTGCGCAATGCCAAGGCTGTTCATAACTGCAGTCACTGCAGCTTTCTGAAATGGTGGCTCCTTGCCATCACCCACAAGGCTGCTCGCTGCGGAGGGGGGAGGTTAATATTGCCTAACTTTATTAATGTACTGAAACAATGCATCTGAATGTTAAGCTCTGGCAATAAAATACTTCTCTTTTCCTAATTACTAAGCCTTTCCTCTTCAAGCACATTGTTGTTTTTAGTGATGTAAGCGTACAGGGCTGAGTACAATGGGGGAACTGTGTCAGATAAATAGGAGGTTTTCCTTACGGAAGAGCTTACAATTTAGGAGCACAAGCTGGAACTGCACAGGACAACACTGAATGGTACAATGCTGGAACGGCATGGTGGGTGGCTCTTGTTAGGTGCAATGCACCATGGAACAGATGGGTTTGAAGGAGTATCTGGGAGGAAGAGAGGGAGAGAGCTTTGCATGCATTAAAATAAACCCTCTTCAGGGCATAACAAAGAGCACTGCCAGTTCTAGGGTTTTACACTTCCCTTAGTTCTTGCTTCATAAATCTAGTGTGTCTCTCTTAATGCTTTGTGAAAGAATAGTTTCTTGGAACACAATTTCATGTATTTATTATGTTCAAGTATTTATTATGTTTATTACTGTTCCAAAGCAGTTTGCTAATGTGTTTTCTGTGACTGTTTATACACCAGCACCACCTGAGTAGACAGATGATGTTAACATGGCAGTGCTCTAATCATAGCACACTACTTTTTCTGAATTATAAGAAATCCCAGGAGTTAATTCTGGTCTCAGAAAAGGAGATGTCAGGTTCCACTGGCATGGCCACATGTACACGGGACACTTCGCTGTGTTTGTCTGGCAGACCCATTAGAGCCATTACATGATCGAGAACACAGAGCTGCTTTCCCGTGGCATATGTGTTATGCTGCTGCTGGACATCTAGAAATCCTGGGCAAGTGCAGAAAAGAGCAGGAGGTCAGTTAATGAGACATAAAAGCATTAGAGTTGGCAGTTTTATATGTACAGTCTGCCTGTCAGCTGTCTCCAAAATCTCAGTGGGAGATTTCGCTTAGAAGCAGGAAGGAACAGTACCATAAACATCAAATGATATACTCTCATTGAAAAACAAGCAAACCCCCAGGCTTAAGATACCTTAATTGAAAAGAGTTTACAAGTGCAGGGAAAAAGACATTAGCTCCATCCTGCTCACTGTAACTGACTAAGACGAAGGGGGGGAGGTACAACTTTCAAAGATAGCTCAAGGAAATGCTTCCACACAGACACATATTTGTGTTGTCCTGGATGTGCATGTCCCTCTGTGGTATGTACAACAACATTTCCTCCTTGCGCGTCACTGTATTTACCTCACTTTGCCTGCGGTAGTAGGACTTGGGGGCATCTGCCATTTGCAAGTTCCACCGAGCTGTTATTTGCTGCCTGAAATCTTCAGGCATTGCCAGGACGCCAAGATTCTTACCTATAAACCTGGAAGTACAAGTAATCCTGATGGTGCAGCTGAAAAGGCAACTTGACAAGTGAGAAGTTAAAGAAAAGACTGATGAGCCTGAGAATTCACTTGCAATTTGTGTGGCTGTTGGGAGAGCAAGACTTTAGGCCTAACAAAGAACTGCCTTGAACTTGTATTTCACAGAATCACAGAATCACTAG